TGAATGAATTATTCCTGCTTTTCTTCCCTTGTTCTCATTTCGGAAATGCAGCAAGTCTGAATCAAAGAATGACAAATATTTGGGGGAAAAAAAATAAAATCACCCTGAGCCTGAGGGTGAATGCAGGGGCACAGGAGTCCAGAGGAGCCAGGGAACTCCCAACCTCCCCAGAGTCTGGTTTCAGTATTCCAAGAAAAAAGTGTTTCAGGATCTGGCTGAAGCACAGTGGTTAATTCCTTACCTTGTTCTGTCTCACTGACCAGCTTGGAGAGCTTGGATCTGATGACTGGAGTGGCTGCCATGGAAAGGAACAGGACTCCGTAACCTGTGAGCAAGACACAGCACATTAGGGAAAGCCCACCTGAAAAATAAAGTCTCCCAAGTCAGTCCCAGAAATCTGCAGCTGCTGGCGGTGTCTCCGTGCTCTATTTAGACACAATTCACCCTAAGGTGAATTCACACAATTCATCATAAGGCACTTCAGTCTGTGCCTGCAGTGCAATACAGTTCTGGGAAGCCTTATGTTCTAGGAGCTACACAGATGCACTTCCAACTTCAGTGTTTGGCCAACACTGCCCTTAGCAAGCCACAGTTTTGTTGGTGCATCAGGCAGAACTTCCTCACAGTGCCTGAACTCCCTGTGGAGCACACTACCAGCACCAATGCACCAAAAACCTGAGAAACAGGGATTTAAGCCTTCAGCATCACCTGTAAACATCAGTGGCGTTGTGGTAGCAAGGGAAATCACCACCAGCCCAGCAACGTTGGAGATCAATCCTATCTCTGCCACCCAGGTGTCCTCAAGGCAGAGCTGCAGCAGCCTCAGCCCCGCCAGGCTGCTCAGGTAAGCCAGGTAGCTGGCAGCCGAGCCGTACCCGATGAGATCAGAAGCCCAGCACAGAGGGAAGCCGAGCTCATACAAAACATAGATGTCCTTGGCTCCAAAATGCACTGTGACAATCAGAAAGAAAGCCAGGGTGTACAGAGCCAGCTTCCACCTGGAGCTGGGGTGCTCCGGGGCCGTGTACAGCCGGTACACAGCCTTGTAGTGGCTGAGCGTGAACAGCTTGGCCGCCTTCTTCTGCTTCACCGACTCGCGGAGGAAGAAGGCGGCGTAGAGAGTGGCAGCAAGGCTGGCAGCAAAGGCCAGCCAGAAAGGGTTGATGTAGCCCTGGGCTCTGCGCCACTGGCCACCGCCGATGCTGGCCACCATGCCCGCGGTGCCCAGGCACGCCTCGAGGACGGCCACCCGGAACGTCCGCGCACGACGCTCGCTGGTGTCGGCCACGTAGGAGAAGCAGCTGGCCAGGATCAGGTTGTAGTCGCCCGTCAGGCCGCTCAGGATGCGTCCCAGGAGGAAGAAGGCGACGTGCAGCTCCAGGTACATGACCAGCAGGTAGATGGCTGTCTGCAGGGCCATGCCCGCACACGGCAGGATGAGCGCCGGGCGCCGGCCCACGCCGTCGCTCCACGCACCAAAGAGAGTCACGGAGAACAGGCTGACAAAGAAACCTCCCAGGTTGATGTAGAGGTTCCAGTGGGACACCAGAGCTTCCACCTCCTGCAGGAGGAACAGGCAGCTGAGGAGCTCCAACATTACCCACTGGGTTCCCCGCTCCTCCTGGGGCTTCCATCACGCTCCCCTTCCCCTCCGGGCTCCCTGCTCCCTTTGGGGCTTCACATTCCCTCCTGACTCTGCTTCCAGGGACCCCCAGCTCCTCCCAAGCTCCCCGTTCCCCCGGAGCTCCCCTTCTCCCCCAGAGCTTCCCTCTCCCCTGGGACCTCCTGTTCACCGTGAGCCTCCCACTCCCTCCGTGGCTCCCCAGTCCCACGGACCCGCCTTTCCCCCCGGGTCCCCATCTATGCCGTGCCTCCCCTGCCCCCCAGGCTCTCCCCCTGAGCTCTCCATCTACACCAGAGCCCGCCGCTCCCCCGGGCTCTCCCGTTTCCCCGGTGTCCCCACCTGCCGCAGCGGGTCGGCGGTGGCGTTGCCGTCCCCGCAGCCGGAGGACTCGGTGCTGTTGCGGTCGCTGTAGCCGTGCTCGGCTCCCAGCCGGTCCCACAGGTACTGGGTGGCCAGCGGGCCCTGCAGCCCCAGCGACACGGTGGCCAGGAAGAGCAGCGGCTCCACGGCGAGCAGCGACAGGCGGCACGGCCCGGGGGGCACCGGGGGCTCGGCGGGCGGCGGAGCGGCCATGGCGGCCATGCAGGGGCGGAGGCTCCGCCCGGAACGGGACTGGCTCGGCTCTACCGGGGATGGGACTGACACGGCTCCGCCCGGAACGGGACTGGCTCGGCTCCGCCCGGAACGGGACTGACACGGCTGCGCCCGGGATGGGACTGACACAGCTCCGCCCGGAACGGGACTGACACGGCTCCGCCCGGAACGGGACTGACACGGCTCCGCCCGGAACGGAACTGACACGGCTCCTCCCGGGACGGGACTGACACGGCTGCGCCCGGGATGGGACTGACACGGCTCCGCCCGGGATGGGACTGACACGGCTGCGCCCGGGATGGGACTGACACGGCTCCGCCTGGGACGAGACTGGCTCGGCTCCTCCCGGAACGGGACTGACACGGCTCCGCCCAGAACGGGACCGGCACCGCTCTGCCCGGAACGGGACCGGCACCGCTGTGCCCGGAGCGGGACCGGCTCCGCGGTGCCCGGAACGGGACCGGCTCCGCGGTGCCCGGAGCGGGACCGGCTCCGCTGTGCCCGGAACGGGACCGGCTCCGATGTGCCCGGAACGGGACTGACACGGTTCCGCCCGGAACGGGACCGGCTCCGTTGTGCCCGGAACGGGACCGGCTCCGCTGTGCCCGGAACGGGACCGGCTCCGCTGTGCCCGGAACGGGACGGGCTCCGCTCCCTCCGCCGCCAGGGAAACGCGGAGGTTCCCGAGCCCCCTCGGCGCTGGCGCTGCAGCGAGCCCGGTGCTAAAGGTGCAGCTCTCAGGCCGTGATGTGCCACAAAATCATGTAATTGTTGAGGTGAAAATACTCAATTAAATACTCGTTAGAAAATACTGCTTTTTATAAAGGACAAAATAACTTAGAAATTCAGTTGATAAAGAAGGTTTTGGCTGTGCTGTTTGGTTTCTTGTAAGGTTTGGCTGCCTCGAAGAGCAGATCAGGAAGCAAAGACCGAATTGTCCTTCGAATTCAAAGCACACAAGTCAGAGTATTAGATTAACCTGTTTATATAAACGGGACAGTTCCAAACTAATGGAAATCGGCATTGCTCCTCTGACAGCACCGAGGTGCTCATGGGCCACAGGAAAAGCTCAGACAAGACAGAAACCACTCATTTTGCAGTAAAGCACTTACAGAACTCCTGTTTAGCATCTTTGAAAGTGTTGTGACTCACTGACAGTGGCAACCATCTCTGTGGAGGTGCTGCTTTTAAAGAACAGGCACAATTCTTCAGCTGAGCCCTTCCACATTGGTATTTACACTCCATAACTGAGGCTGCAGCTGGAGGCCAACCTCTGCCTTGCAGAGATACAAAAACGAGGTGTTCTTTTAGATTTCCATCACAGCCTTAGGGCATCAGAGTAAAAAGCAGAAAAATTACCTTGCTGTAGGCTGCTGTCACTGCACCTTGGCAGACAGTAATTAAACATTCAATGGAAGCAAGATGTGGGGGAATAGAATTCATTTGAAAGCTCTTTCTCATTATTTTTGTACCAAGGGTGAGATGCTAAAGCTCAGGGCTGGCACCAAGAAAGGTGATGCTGTTTGTTGTGAGCAACATGCCCAAGTCCAGCTTGCAAATCTGGCAGCTGATTTTCCATCATTAGCACATTCTTCAGAGAAAACAAGCCCTGGCAGAAAAGGGAGAAGAGGCAGAAAGAGCAGAAGCTTTTTGTGGAGCTGACATCAGATGACCTAATGGCTGTGCTTCCCTTTGTCTCTCTCGAGTAAGCTATAAACAGTACCAAGATAATTTATAGCAATAAAATGATAATGTTATCATCATTAGCTGAGAGATGTACCTGGATGATCTAATAAAGCCATCAATGTAGCATTAACAAGAAATCACCCTTTGGACTTTATTTATTTTATTATTATTTTATTATTACTTTTACTAATTTGTTACCCTTTGGACTTAAAATGTTTAGTACTATTTCTGTTAATGTATAGAATCTAGTGATTCACAGCTTGTATTTTGGAAGTTGCCTGCAACTGGGACAAGAATCACTGGTAATTTCCCTGTAGCACCTTTTCTTCTGAATTTCCACCCCCCAGCCCCAATACACCTTGCCCTCCCAAAGTTGTGCCTATAAGCCTGCAAGATCAAAAATGTGTAAAAAAAAAATTAAAAATAGCCCAGTGTCTGCAAAGGGATCTCCTGCAGCCAAGTCTTTCCCAATCCACTACGACCTAAGGTAAGGACTGTCAGTCCCTTTCTGTTTGGGGACTTGATGTGGCACCTGGTGACAGCAGCTCTGCCCATGGGTTTTGCTCCCTAAAGTGAATTTTTCAAGGAACAAACATAAACATCATAAACAATCATGCTTATATAACTTTTTGCACTGGTGTTTCTAATCCCTGTATTTGAGCATTGCAGATGAGGATGTCTTTTTCAGCGTTCCCCCATATTTTTTGAAAATTGAAATAATTTTCCACCATGTTTTGGAGGGAGCGGCTTCTCTTTTTTATAGGAATAACTGTACCTATTCAAAGAGGGCATTATTAGAGACCAAATAATTAATATTATGTTTTTAAAAGCATAGGTCACTCTTTCAAATACCCACTTGCTCCACAAGGGATTAGTTCTCTGACGGATATATCAATTCCCCAAAAGATTCTCTTAAGTTCCTGCTCTGACACTCTTTTACTGTCTCCTCCCTTCTTTGTTCTCTTCCTTCTTTCTCCGATTACAGTTCCAAAAACAACAGCCAATCTCCCGAGGTCAATGGTTAATATTCCCTGGTGTTTATATAGCTGCCAGCAGCAGGCTGCAGGCCCTTCAGCACTGGGCCAGCTCCAGCACCATGCCTTTCTCCTGGCAGGCAGTGCTGGCCTGCAGGAAATACCTCATCATCATCCTGGTACCCCTCCTCTTTCTCCCTCTGCCTCTGCTCCTGCCCACCAAGGTAAGGAATTTTTTATCAAAAGTCTCCACATTTCAGAGTTGGATCTATTTTCTTTGGTTTTTTGGTTTTTTTCCTGAGTATATTGGGGCAATAAAGCAGCAGTGGGGCTTGGATGGATGAGGAGCTACATCTGTGGTTGCATCTTCTAGAGGAACACTCAGAGATATGAGAGAGATTTTGTGACTCTTGCTTTGCATCTGGCTGATGTAGAAAAGGGCTTTCTATGCTGAAGATAAACTCAATTTTAATCCTTCTTTTCATTGCCTAACAGTGTTCAGTTCACATCTTCTTTTATTCTTTTTCTTGCTGTCACTGCTGCTTAGAAGAGGCATTTTCATATAGATAAGACATTCTGATACATAAGGGAAAATAACATGCATTTCAGTCTTGCTCTAATTTATTTAAGAAGAATCTTCCCAAACAAGGATTTTATATTTAAAACACCAAGTTCTGGAAGACATCTGGCTTAAGGTTCCTTCAGGAAAAGTTGACTGAGGAGCTGCAGGATCCTGGTTGGTATTTCTGGGGCACTGATCATTTAAAAAAAGATCTGTGAGCTGACAGACTCCCAGTCTTCTGCTGCTTCTTCACTGTTTCTTGCACTCCCAACCTCTTCATGCAGAAAAATCTAATCTCAGGTCTCTTATTACAGCCCCAGCACTACAAAATAGCTCGTCCCAAACTGCCTCTCCTGTAATTTCTCTTTGGACACCAAATCCTAACTCTTCCCCCTGGTCTCTGCCTCCCAATCCCTGCTGATTCCCAGTTTAGATTCCTTCTCCAAGTTCCATTCTCCACCTCCCTAACCCTTCCCTGCCTGTCCCAAAGCTCTGTCCTCTCAGCTCTGTGTCTGAGTGTGGCAGCTGGGCAGGTGTGGCCCCTCATTCCCTCACTAGGTAAATAAAATACTTCAGATTATTACTTAAAATCTCACTAGGAAGGTGAAAAAAAAAAAAAAAAGAAAAAGTACCTTTTTTTGCTAGTTAACTTTCAGTAGGCAAAGGAGTTACTGAAGTGAAAAGAGATCAGGAACAAGAAAGTTCTAAGGAGACAGAGTAATTTTTTTTTTTTTTTTGTCCTGAGGCCACAAGTTCAAACTTGCTTACTGGAGGCATTGTTACATACAGTGAGTCCTTGGAGTTACCTGAGGAATAATTTGGCAGCCTTGGTTCAGTTGCTCTTTGAAAATTACTCTCTCTGATTGCTATGCAGTCAGCAACAAGACAATTATTGAAAACATCCTGGATTTTCCCCTTTGTGCTTAAGGAAACCTTTGAGAAGGGGTTTTTGGGGTTAAATTGTGCACTGTGCTACTGCTGAGCAGGAAAAGCTGGTGTCTCTGCACACGGTGGTTCGAGCCAGCAGCTGCAGGGTGGAATTTCACATTTTTTCTATTCTGTTCATCTATTAACCTGCCCTAAAATGACACAGCACTGGACACTGAGCTATTATAATTGAGAGCAAACAATGCTAAAAATCTTGCTTAGAGGCAGAGAATGTCCTTACAGGATGACTGACTTTGGGAAAACCCTTTCCTGTTCACAGCAGGATGGAAGACAATGGCACTGTGCCTATGAGATACATCCCAAAGCTCTGCTAGGGTCTCTCAAAAGGCACCCATCTGTGTCTTTCAATAACAAAAATGGAGAAAAAGGATTGTCAAAAGGGCAAATTGCTCTCAGTGATCAGTGAGATGAATAATTTAAGGTTCTTAATGCTCTTGTTCATAAATAAGGCTCAAAAAGAAATATTTTTGTATCTTTGGGAATCTCTTAGATTTACTTCTTCAGCCTGGCTGCTTTGATAATTCACACCTAGACTGCTGTCATCTTCTTTCCTCCAGATTGCTCAGCTCCCTGCTCATCCTTTCCCTTCAGCAGCTCTGTAACCTCCACACCACGTTCAGAATTCCTGAGCGTGTTCCCGAGCATCTCAAATCCAATCCTGCCACCCATTATTCCAGCTCCTTGGTTTAATCCTCTGTATTCCAGCTCCTTGGTTTAATCCTCTGTATTCCAGCCTCCAAAAGCATCACTACAGTTTCATTCATAGTGAGCAGTATGTTTTAGTGGACATCCTTTATCCAAGACCACACATCTATGGTCTTCGTCCTTTGGCTTTGGTGTCTCCCACAATTGTGCAAGTTCCAAAACACAAAAGACACCAAAACCTCCTCTTACATTCTTTCTCAGCCAAACCAAATGCCGCTGTTGTGACAAGTAATTTTGAATCTGTTCTGTGTACAGGGACTGACTGGCTTAAACATTTTTACATGAAATTTGGAGCGGTTGTCCAAAGCAGAACTAAATCAAGGTTTTCTCAGAAAAAGAGTGACATGAAATAGGGCACCTCACTTTCTTCAAACAAACAAGACAAAGTCAGTGGAAGCTGAAATGATCTGTGACTATTCTGCCAGTGAGCCCTTCAAAGTCTCTACTAAGCTAAAAATCCAGTGAAAGTTATAAAAGTATTTACAGCACAAGGAGTCCTTTTCCAACAAGGAGACTTTAAGAGTGAAATTAGCTGTGGCTCACCTGGGCCGTGACCTGAAGCCCATGTGAAAACAGGTGGAGAAGCCTTGACTGGATCAGTAACTGATTCTACAACTCAAGGACATAAATACAGAATATAACACCATCAGCACAATCAAGAAGCCTATTCAGTGATTGCCAGTCCCTTATCATGAAAAGTCCAAAGTCATCCACACCTCTTTTCCTCTGGTGCTGTTTTTGCCCCCGCTGAAGGCCTCATCTGCTCCTCAGCGTTCTGAGGAGATTGCTGCACAGTGTGGCTCTTGTTTAGGATCTGCACAGGTCAGAGGCTAGATGGGAGAGAAGCACAGGAAATAACCTTTTCTCTAATCCCTTTATCAGGCAGTCAATGTCATTAGGAGGCTTTGGTTCAGCGTGCTCTGACTGTGTGTCCCTTTCCCCTGGCAGGAGGCACTGTGTGGCTATGTGATCATAGTGATGGCACTTTTCTGGTGCACAGAAGCCCTGCCTTTGGCTGTCACAGCTCTCCTGCCCGTCCTGCTGTTCCCACTAATGAATATCATGGATTCAACAACAGTAAGAGATCTTGTCCCATGTATGAATCAGTCAGCTGCTTTTATTCTGGGATTATTCCCCAGGATTATATGATGACCATCATCATAATCATTATATTTGTATTATTGATAGTATTATTATTTAATTTTAACTTAATTTTTATTATTATTCTCTGTCTTCTCCATGGACTAGAACTTGCATGAGCCCAGAGTGAGCTCTGGGTGGAGCTGCTAATCTGAAATCAAAGCAAATTCCCCATCCAGATGCAACCCAGAGATACTCCCTGCTAATGCCTTTGGAATAAACTCCCTCAGGAGATGTCCCCTCTCTTGTGACTCTTCCCTCTCCCTTGTCCCACCTCACAGGTCTGTCAGGAGTACTTGAAGGACACCAACATGCTCTTTTTGGGGGGCCTGGTGATGGCCATTGCCATCGAGACCTGGAACCTGCACAAGCGAGTGGCTCTGCGGGTCCTGCTGATCACTGGTGTCAGGCCAGCCCTGTGAGTGACAGGGGTGGAAATTCTCTGGGATAAAGGACTTTATGGCATTAGACCCCCCCCTCTGATGGGAATCTGCAAATCTTTCCCTGCACATGCTTTCCTGCAGCCCAACTGACTTAGTGCCTGAGCAAGCCTCACAAATGTTGAGGTGTTACACACCTGGTGTGCCTTTTTATTTATTTTATTTTTCATTCTAAAAGGCTTTTAGGTGGAAAAACAGCAACAAGAGAGTCAATGCTGGAAAGAGAAGGGTGGTGCCAGGCTGGGCCAGGAGCACAGCTTTGGACAGGCAGGAAAAACCACAGCTGGAACACAGAGAACGTGGACTCTGCCTGCTGCTGATTGCACAGAGAAGAGAAAATATGAGGATGCTCGTCTGGAAAACAACAAATGTTTTCCAGACTAGAACTTTAAGCTATACACAGGCTACACCACCCTGTTTAATCAGTTTCAGCTCATAAGAAGAGGGAATACTAAAGGAAATTACAAAGCAATAGAATAAAAATGCAAGCAAGATAAACCCCTTTTCATCTCATATATAATCTACAGCTCATCTAAAGATAATTTTGAGACAAATAACAGAGTAATACTGAAATGAGGATTAGAATTTTAGATGAGTAAGAAGAGAATCTTAAATAACAGAGGTGGGATAAAATAACATGAGGAAAAAAAATATATCATCTTCCTTATGGCTTAAACTGATTGCCATTTGGGATCAAATTCAGCTTGCAATTCCTCTTCAAAATCTATTATAATACATTAACATGTGTCATTGAGAAATGTCTTCCTATGAAGGATGTGGGATAAGAAGGATCTGACTGGATAAACTGCTTGCTCCAACCTACCAGGTTCCACTTTCTTAGCCACAGGAATGTCAAAAAATTGGTTGAAAAAGAAAAATGGATGTTAAACCTTAACTGTGTGGCTCACAAAGCAAATCAGGGCAGGAGGAAATGCTGGGTAGGGATTGCTGAGCATTCTCCAAACCCAGCATTTGTAGCTGACTCTTGGTAACAAAAAACCAAAAAAACAAAACAAAACAAAACAAACAAACAAAAAAAAAAAAAAAAGAGCATTGCAGGGCTGAGTTCTGATCCAGCTTTTCCAAACCTTATCATTTCAGACTCCTGATGGGTTTCATGGTGGTGACAGCTTTCCTGTCCATGTGGATCAGCAACACAGCCACCACTGCCATGATGGTCCCCATAGCACAGGCGGTGATGGAGCAGCTGCACAAGTCAGAAACTGAGTCTGGCACCACTGGCCAAGTGCCTGGAAACACCAACAAAGCCTTTGAGCTGCAGGAAAAGTTACCTGACAGCTTCAAAGAACCAGAGGAAAAAGGTGAATGGGTTGGAGGTGGTTTTCAGGGTGATGGAGGACACCCTTTCTACTGTCATAAGAGTTCCTAGTAAATCCTAAAAGAAGACTGTCCCCAAAGCATCCTCTCTGCACCACACAGCATTGATAAGACCCTTCCACGAACCAGACAAAACCACAGTTTTTATTATTGTTATTATTATTCTGACTTGGCTGAAGTTAAATCAAAAACACAGAAAGGCTATAACTACTCAACAAACAGAAAAAAAGTACAAATTCTCCACTAGGGGAAGCTTTTATATCCAGCTTGCTATTTCCCTGCATATTTATGTTAGTTCAATTATTATCTACTGTGTAACTTATCATATAATAGGGGATTCCCAAGGCAAAATTTCTGGCCTCTCTCCAGCAGGAAGGTTAGGGATTAAAATGATCTTTCTAATCCAAAGGTACACAATCAAACAACAATATCTCTTTACCAGCTGTCTTGCTCCCTCCCCATTTTTGAGATGATTCCAATGTTTCTGAACATAAATCTCAGTGCCAGCAGACAGGTGCTGGTTTTAGCAAAAGTTCCCTTTAGCCCAGCTCCTCCAACTCTGCTATAATTCCTTGAATACTTGCCTCAGTCCCCTCTGTGTGCAGTTCAGACATCGCCCTCATTCACCAGGAAGTGTCAGCAGTAGGTTCAAACTTTAGCACACATTTCAAATTCCCCTCTGAAAAACTGCTCTGTGTCAAGACAACCAGTGAAAATGGGCAGAAGATCAAAAAATTAACAATGCCAGCCTTAAAATGAGGAACTTTGGTTCCTTCAGCTCTGAACCCATTGTGTTCTAGCCTTGAAATATTAAATTATGCAAGCCCAAGGCCTTCTCCTGTCCAATATAGCTCCTGCATCTCTTTTGTTCCTTGGGATCTAGGTAATTCTCATGTCCTGACAGTCGAGGAAGAGAGGAAGAGAAATGAAGAGATTGAGAAGAAACACTTGAAGCTGTCCAAGGGAATGTCCCTCTGTATTTGTTACTCATCCAGCATCGGAGGGATCGCCACTCTGACTGGGACAACTCCAAACCTGGTGCTACAAGGCCAAATTAATGAGTAAGTCTGGGATTACACACCCTCCAAACTGCAGCATTCTGCTCCAGCTGACTCCCAGGCAGCACAGAGAAGGAAAATGTCAGTTTGGTCCCTTTCTTGGGAAGTGAGCTTCTCTTCCTTAATGGGCCCCACAGAACCTCCCCTTTTCTGCCTCATTAATGAAGGACAGAAGAGAGTGTGGAATTTTGGATGCTAACAGCCACCTGCATTTTCCAGCATCTATAAAGACAATGGTGGCATCATCAACTTTGCCTCCTGGTTCTCCTTCGCCTTCCCCACCATGGTGGTGCTGCTGATTTTGGCGTGGATTTGGCTGCAGATCCTGTACTTGGGCTTTGAGTGAGTATCCCTGAGCCCCTGCCCTCAGGACTTGTCCTGCACCAGTGAGCCTTTCACTGATGAGAAAAAATCACACAGCAGGTGACAAGGTCCTGACACACAACAGAGACCACAACAGCACACTCAGTGCCTGTTAAAATTCTGCAAGCTCTGCTTTGAGGAATCTGTTCAAGTCCCAGCTGAATTACTCTGCAGGTGAAAACAGAGGCTCTGAGTGCCCGTGACCTGTCCTGCAGCATTGCTGTCGTGTCCTAGGAGATTGCTGTGCTCCAGAGCAGGAAATTGATTTCCACAGAGAGCTGTAAATGCTTTTGTGACCAGGGTTGCTTCAGACCTAGAGGATTAGTTCTGTGCTAGTTCTGGTGCAGATCACCCCACACAACCAGCCTGCATTGCCTGCCTGTTCAATACTCAGCTTTTCATGGTTGTAGTATCCCAGCTTCACTCATTTTACATGGAAAGAGTGTTGTACTGCTGAATTACACCTGAAATGCTTTTTTCACCGTCAAATTCCTCCTTCAAAATCCTCATTTTATGTCATTTTAAAAAGCTTGGCAACTCTTTACTTCAAGTAAAGTGATCAAACAGCCTTGTCAAATCACATTAACATTGTCCTGGTCTAGTAGAAGTTGTCCCTGCCCCTTCATTAGAATGAAATGGAATTTAGAGTCTCTTCCAACACAAACCATTCTGTGATTCTGTAATTTTTTTCCTCATATGCCCAGATATCTCACTTCTTTACATTTAAGTAATGAGCTTTTAGGGGCAGGAAGCTTTTTTCTAATCATCTTGTCAAGACATGCAGCTCCTACTCATCATGGTTGCAAATTATAATATATTTAATTTCAATATTCATATACAAATACATATAAAGACATTATAATTGAGTATAAAAATTGGATTCTTAACTCTCAGGATACCTGGCAAATTTCTCTGACATTTCTCATCCATTTTCTTCCAGTTTTAAGAAGAATTTTGGTTGTGGTGCCAGTCCTGCTGCCAAGGCTAAGGAGAAGCAGGCCTATGAAATCATCAAGGAAGAGAGCAAGAAACTGGGCAAAATGAACTTTGCAGAAATAGAAGTTTCAATCCTCTTCATTCTCCTGGTGGTGTTGTGGTTTACAAGAGAACCTGGCTTCATCCCAGGCTGGGCAACAGTTCTCTTCAACAAGGACAATAAAAGGTAGTGCCCCTTCTCCTCCTCAGTTTGAAAATGAACCAGGCTGGATTTTATCCAGCTGGAATCACAGCTGACTAAATTCCTGACTGCTCTACTGCAGCTATGTCACCGATGCTACTGTCGCCCTCTTCATTGCAATGCTGCTCTTCATCCTCCCTTCTGGCTTTTCCAACCAGGACAGAGACCAAGAGCAAACAGGTGAGTCACTGAAGCACCAAAAATCGGCTGTCTGAATGGGTTTGTGGGAAATTTTCACATTTTGGGTTTGCAAAGGAAATTTCAAATATCAAATAGCACTTCAAAACTGATCCTCCAGCTGTGTGCTTTAGGTTTGGAGAAGCACATATCACATAAAATTCTCTGTTTCTCATCATTTAATTAAGGAACTCATCAACTAATCAGGAACTCATCCACTAATTAGGAAACTGTTATCCCAGCAGTGTTCCTGCCCCTGTTGTACACATTTGTAAAGGATTCTGAGCTGGAATCTTCAGGAGGGAACACAAAACAAAAACAGAGAATTGCTGCCACACCTTTCACTCCCCCTTCCCTGCCTCCTACTGCGCTTCTTGGAGCAGCCACAGATCATTCATTAGAGCTTTTGCAAGTCAAGCCTTAAACCCATCGTTGATGGTGCTCCCAGCGTTCGCTTCGGGCAATAATTCCAGAATTTGCTGACAGAAGGATTCCTGACCTTCAGACCAAACTCACCTCCCACCAAGAAGTTCTCCTCTCTTTGGAGAGCGCAAGGTGGCTTCACAAAATCTCTTTTGGCTTCCAGGGGGCAGGGCAAAGTTCCGGGCACCTCCACCCCTCCTGGGCTGGAAGGTGGTGCAGGAGAAGATGCCGTGGAACATCGTGTTCCTGCTGGGAGGTGGCTTCGCCTTGGCCAAAGGCAGTGAGGTAACATTCCTCGGCTCGCCTGGGATTTGTGTTTTCCTGGGTGGGTCCTTTTCCATCTTGCTCTTCGTGCTCTCCCAGGACACGAGAGGGCACACCAGGAGCACCAAAAGCTCCTTTTCCCATCTCCTGGTGGTGGGACCGTCCTTGGAGTCCTGGCATCAAATCTTTGTTGTTCCCTGTGCCAGTCAGGGCAGCACCATTAACTGTGCTTCTAGAAAAGTGGCTGATTAAAGGTTCTTTTAAATAAAATGTAATTAATGCAGCCTGCATGACGAGATTATTTAATCCAGGAGGGGTCTCCAAAGTATTTCAAACCAAGGATTTATGGAAATAGGATTTAAATTCAACTATTAGAAGAGAAATGTAGAGCTTGCTAGAGAAACTTCAGGAGCAGGTAAAAAACGTCTGCAGGAAGAGTCCAATGCTACACATTATTTTCCAGTAACGATTCAAGTGATGGAACAGACAATCTATTTATTAAATCTATAGACAATAAAGAAATTCTAAAAGGCTTCAAGTGCCTAGAAATACTAGTTTAGAATTCAAAGATCAACATTAAAATGCAAAAGTACATGTTTCGAAAAGGAAATATTTAGGAAATCACTTTAATTTATCCTAGAATAAATAACCAAATACATAAAAGCTGCTGCAGAAAGCTCAGAATGACAGGGAGGATGCTGCTACTTCCCACTGGCTGGCAAGAATGAAGGGTGTGAAAAGATTCAGACAGTTATCAAGATCTCAGACAATGTGATGAAATGACATTAAATCACTACAGCATCTGACAAGATATATAGATAGATAGATAGGTTTTTTTAATTAATTCAAATACCTTTGCCTTTATAAAAATTTGATTCAAATATTGATCATGTCCAAGTAATAATCTGAACAGAGAAATAATTATTTGCTGTCAATAATGCAATGTAAATGCAGGATCCCCTACTTTCCAATTCCTTAGATGGGAAATAATGTTGAATTTTTTTTTTTTGTTTAACTTGCTGAACAATCCTGTCTGTGAGCACCGGCTGTGTTTTCCTGCACTTTGCATGAGAACTGCTCTGAGAAGGGAGGGCTGAATTGGCATGAGAACTGCAACAGAGCATTGATGTGGCTCTTCCCTCTCCAACCTGGCATCCCTGTCTGCTCTCTTGCAGAAATCTGGTCTGTCTGCGTGGTTGGGCACCAAACTGACCCCTCTGCAGAGCATCCCTCACCCAGCCATTGCCTTCCTGCTGTGCCTCCTCATCGCCACCTTCACCGAGTGCACCAGCAACGTGGCCACCACCACCCTCTTCCTCCCCATTCTGGCTTCAATGGTGAGTCCCAGCATGTTAAAATACTCTTATAAGGACAGTTTCCAGCTCCTCAGCTGTCAAAACTGGCTGGCAAAGCCAAGCACTGGTTCCTGTATCCCATCAGGGATACCAGACCTAAACCAAAAATCTGTGTGTGCATATACGAACACACACCGTGCTTAGTTCAACCTTTCTAAAATCATTGCTTGTGAAAACCAAAGGGATTAAATTCATTGGCATATGAAGACTTCACCTTCTGGCCTAAACATGAGGTCACTGCCAGCTGTACTTGTTTTTTCCCAATTTGTTCTGCATGGAGACAGCAGCAGCATTTCCTTGCCTGCAACATCCCATGACTGTGTTTCACCACCACCAAGGCCTTCCAGAAGTCTCTGAAGGAGATAGCATGACCTAATTCATACTTCTGCATTTCCACAGGAGATTCCTGTTGCTGGGCTAAGACAGAGTTCTGCAAACTGGTTCCAGACAGAAACTGGAATGAGTGCCTCCAAAATCTTTTTGCATAGGCCACAGACTCCAGCCAGCTCCTAAACCAAAGCTCTCACCTCCAGAGCTTCACCTGCCTCCCCTGATAATTTAATTTTGCTCTTAACCAATTCAAAGCCAGGGTTTAGAGCTGAATATAATCATTATTTATCCATTTCTACAGCAGCAACACAAAGCCCTGACCACAAAATCAATTCTTGCATTTGCTGCGTAAAGATGCTGGAAGTGTCTAAAGCAGCACCAAAATATGAGTGGCTGCAGCATCTGGGGAAGAATGAGGCTTCTGACATGGACAAATACAATCAGATTTCTGCCAGAAGGTTTCTGTGCATTTCTGGGTGTCAAACCCATCATCTCTGCTCTCTTTTTGTGCACAGGCTGAAGCAATTTGTCTCAACCCTCTCTATGTCATGCTGCCCTGCACACTCTCTGCATCGCTGGCCTTCATGCTCCCCGTGGCAACTCCTCCCAATGCCATTGTCTTCTCTTATGGACAGCTCAGGGTTATTGATATGGTGAGGAAAAAAATAAAAAACAACACTTTCTTTCCAGAATTTTCAACCCGAGGTTTGAGCTTTCCTTTTCCTAATGCTGGTTCTTCTTGGGTGAGCATTAGAAAAGTCAGTGTGCCCAGCTTATGTCAAGTGGAAAGATGTGTGTGCATTAATAAAGGGTTACACTGTCTCTAATACATTCTGAGAGTCTTAGAAAGGTGCTAATGAGCCTTTAAAGAACAGCCAGGGCCTCGTGAAGATTTTATAATAAGAATTGTCAATGTCTAACTGCTTGAAAAACTCAAATGTACAGCATGAGGGTGTCCAAGAGCCCTGTCACCTGGGCAGTCCTTCTGCAGGGACAGGGAATAGCCTGGCACATATGAGTGCCCTGATGCCTCAAGAAGTCATTAAAGTTATCAAGAGCCAGCAGTGCCATGTCTCTTGGTAATTTATAATTGTCTTATAACTTAAATGTCTCTTCCCTAACTTATAATTGATCCAAGAAGAAGCCCAAAGTAACATTAGAGAAAAATACCAGGTCATAATAAAGGATTAAAAGGACTTTGGGACTTCTAGTTTTGAGAGTTTTATCCAATGGAAACCTTTCCCTTTATACAAATTATATTTGTGAAGAAAACCAACTTAAATATAATTTGGTGGAGGTGTGAAAAGAACGCCAAAGAGAAAATCAAACCATCAAGGAAGGAAAAAAGTGCTCAGGGATGCTAACAACACTTCTCTTTTCTAATTCTAGGCCAAAGCTGGGTTTGTACTCAACATTCTGGGAGTTCTGACCATAACTCTGGCCATCAACACCTGGACTTCATCCCTGTTCCAGCTGCAGACGTTCCCATCGTGGGCAAACAGGACAGGGACCTGCCTGTAAGGTGGGGAGGAGACAGGACCAGGAGTGCTCCTGCCAAGCTGCAAGGACAGCAGGGCTGTCACCCACAGAGGCAGGGCTTGGAGAACAGCCTGGCCTGTGGGAAAGGACCAGCAAAATCCTCCCAATGCTAACAGCAGGAAAATTGCCCGGTTGCTGTTGGCTTTTGTCACCCCAGCAGGAGGACGAGGTGATTTTTGGCTTTCCAGCCCTCCCACCTTTAGATTTTCTGCCTCTGCAGGGGTGTTTGCCCCCAGTTGCTTTTCCAGTAAGTCTGAAATCTGCAGCGAGACAAAAAGAGAGAGGTGTGAGTACAGAAAAGGAAGGAGAGAGACTCTGAGCTCCTGATTTCACGCACAGGTCTGTGCTGCCACAGCTCTCCACCTGTATATGTGTAAATGTTCAAGGTGTACATGGTTGTTATATACTCTGTGGGCACTGACAGCAAGCTGTGTGTTGTGTGATCACAGAAAAATCACTGTCAGCCCCTCCTATTTTGAAATATATATTTATTTGCAGTCCCCTTGTTAGGAATGTAAAAGATTAAATTTCTCCCAGACCATCCACCCTGGAGGTATTTATGTATTTAAGTTCATAATAAGATCATTCCTTGAAAAGGAGAGAATCCCTGTGTGCTAAAATATAAATAATTGAATTAAAGGGTTTTTTTTTATCTACCCCTGTGTCCTAGAGTTTGGTTTTTTTAGTATAAATCACTGCTTCTCTCTTCCAGGTATCAACTGCTTGTTCGTGTTCTCACTTATAATATCTTTAAATAATTAGAGAAATCAGCATAGTTGATTTTCTCTTATCTTTAAAGTAGTAATAATGTTGTTATTATTACTGAGTCAAATTTTCTTGGACTGTGCAGCCCAAGATTTTCCTTTGTAAAAGCCCATCATTTAATCCTGTTTCATATCTAACCCCTATTCCGCTGGAGCTGATTTTCAGAAGCAGATAAATTCCTAATGACCAAACTGACAAATATCCAAAAGCACTTTGCCAAATCTCTTGGTGCCATAAATGAGGTTGGGTTCACACAGAGCAGTTACTCTATATGTGCCCCTGAAGTTTGCTCTGAAACCTTTGTTCTGCTGTTCCCTGCTTCGATTTTGCACAAAGTGCATTTCTGAAATCCCAGTCTGGTGGGATCTCCATACTGGCTCCATGAGAGTTAAAATGAGGGAATTTCACTCTAAAACAGTATGTTCTCATTAAAATCTTTCTTTTTTTCTTTCTCTACCCTAATTATGAGGAGATGAGGGCAGCGTGCAGTGTCATTTTGATTCAGAAAATGTCCAAATTCACTGACTTGCAGCATTTTTTTTCCAGTTCCAAAGATCCAGATAATTCAGGTGTCTGCTGGCCATTGATTCCTCAGCACTGATGGTTCCAGTGGCTGTGGAAATCACTGTCTTGGAAAGAACAGCCTGGTGTAAATCCTCCTGTGGCTTTGACAGTGTTTTAATTTGATGTGAGATAGAGATCCAGCAGAATATCCACAGCTCCAGAAGGAAAGGCATTTATTCTCTGTTGCTAATGAGCTCCTGGGTAACAGATTTCAGTCATAATGACTTGCTCAGGTCACTGCTACACCACTCTCCTTTCCCTTTGCGTTTACCTCTATCAAATAACACCCAAATCTCTCTAAATATTTTCATTACCCTGCTCACCCTCTGTCTGAGGACTTAAAAATGACAAACTGGAGCAGATGATTTGCTGAGAGCCTCTCCCTTCTTCCTCCCTTTGTCTCCAGCATCAGGGCAGTGTGCTCTGCTTTTGTTTGCTTTTTGTTTTCTTTGAAATACTCCGTAGACTTTACATGTCCTCCTAAATTACTGCTTAGCTAAGCAGGAAAGGTGGAATTCTTATAACATTTCCCGTCGGCCTCTCCTTCCAGCCCTTTTAAAACTGTGTTATGGTTCTTTGAAGTCTTTTCTATTAGTCTACATTATTCAGAGGCTGTGGTGTGCGTAAAGTACCTGCAGGAGCACAGGTGCAATCTTTATGCCAACCTCAAGGAGAAAGGAGGGAGACATCAAGTAGCACAGAGTGTCATGGGGCCAATGCATTAATGCTGCGTGTTCCACCTCCATTAACACGGCTGAGTGCAGATTTACCAGGGAATATCTGCAGTGGGAGTTGCTCAGAGGGTGTAAAAATGACCAAATTCCAGAAAAAAAATATGGGTGAAAATGAGAAGAGAAGAGAAGAGAAGAGAAGAGAAGAGAAGAGAAGAGAAGAGAAGAGAAGAGAAGAGAAGAGAAGAGAAGAGAAGAGAAGAGAAGAGAAGAGAAGAGAAGAGAAGAGAAGAGAAGAGAACTCAAACCTTTAAAACCTTTTCTGCCACAGGGTCATACTAAACACGACAAATCAGTTTTTTCTCCCTTGAAGATAATATTCAAGTAACTTCCTGGTAGTTCAAAAAGTGAATAAAACTGTTCCTCCTTCCAGCTGACCTGGAAGAGAAGAGAAGAACACACAGCAGGACACAAGGAGCACTGAGAATTTCATGACCAGCTTCCACCTTGCAGTGGTGGTGGCACTGGGCAGTTTATTGCCTTGGGTGTGTCTGAGCTCAGGACCAGTCGAGGTACAGCTAAATATAGTGTGCTTGTGCAAAAACCAGTAACACTATTAAAAATTTTCATAATTTTCTAAGCAAAGCAGGTAGAAAGTGTTTCTAAGCCCCATTATTACCCGGATCACCTTTGAAGGGTGGTTCCCCATTATGTTTCCAGATATTGCCCTCAAGGAGTGGCTCCATTTCCCATTGTGAGATCAAATTTCACAATCTGCTGTGAAACTGCCAGCTCAGCACCTGCTGTGCTCAGCTGGGATTCCCACTGCAGCTCCTCATCTCGCAGCTGACACCGAATTTGCTTTCCACAAGTGATAAATTTGGTAACCAGGAGGGGGCCTGTGTCTTTTTTATTTTTTTGCCTGCCTTGGCCTAAAAACTCCTCGGCAAAACCACAAAATACAGGTTTGCCAGAGTGAGTAAGTGGGTGACTCGCAGTCACCTCCTCCATTCTCCCTGCAGTTATGGAGCTGTCCTGCCTTGCCTTGCACACACACAATTTCTGCAGGCACACACATGCACTCTGAGGGAGCAGGGAGGCCTTTCCCTGGTAAAAAAACACCATTTCTGTGACCACACCATAAAAGCTGATGGTTTCTGGGCAGGCTCCTGAAAAATCGCTTACATTTGGGAAAGGCACCTAGCCATAAACACCTCAGCAGCAATTTGTAAAGTGGCATGGGAGTGATGCAAGGGTCACTGAAATCATAAACAGACTTAACAGGACACATGGCAATTTGAAAGCTAAACTAGGATGAAGCCAGCACATCTTTCTAATCCTCAAATTGCTTTGGAGAAACCAAAAATTTGCTCCCAGTCACTTAAGAGGTATTAAAATGAGCCTTGTTGTATAGCACTGACATCTTGAAATATGTCCAGGACATACAACTCAATTTTCAATAAAAATAGAAGTAAATAAATAAAAACTACTTGGAAGGACACCTTATCATAGAATGAGCATGAAATAATTCTCAAAAAGGTGAAAATTATTTTCAGCAAACAAACAGAAACACGAGGTTCTGTGTTTTATTCAATAATTAGCAGCATGTGGGTAGCTGTGGACTTTTCTCCAGGAGCTGTAAAAGCTGTTCCTCTTGTGTCCTTGAGGAAATTCCCCCCTTGGATAACTATGGCTTGTTGGCAGCTGTGTGCCTCTCCAGCCCTCTCTGCATTTGGTTTATTTTATTTTAGGAATACAACTCTCTGTTCCCAACTAGCCCATAGGATTTAGTGCTTGCCAAAGCACAAACAGGGTTTAAACCCTGTGCAATGATGAATAACTAAAGAACAAAAAGCAGAAACACAAGGACTTAAGAAATGCATAACTTGAAATCATCCAGGAATTTCACAACCCTCAATTTTTTTTTTTTCCAACATGGGACCAATAAAACTATTTACAACTTGATTCACTGAACTTTATGGCTTGACTTAGTAATGATCAAGGTGCCAAAGTCTGGAAATGAAGTGGTTTGGATGTACTAATCACCTGGTGTCCAAACTAACAACTGTTTAATGGAACTTAATCACTACTGTCAATGCTGGGTATTTTCTCCCATTAAGGAAACATTTTGTATTATTTATCCTTTAATCATATTAACACACCGAAACCATCCAGGTGCCATCCAGGAGGTGCAGGATCCCTCCCCACTTGTCACCTCCTGCCTGCAGACACTGCACCAGGGTCCCCAAATCCAGGCCAAGCACCTGGTGTTGATTTTCCTTGGAAAACTCCCTTAAACAGCTGAGGAATGGAACAAGGGAACACTTACCAAAAGCAATGCAGGGCAGCAGAGTCAGAAATTTAATAGCATTTATTAAAATTGTCCAAAGGGGGAAAAAAATCAAAACAGCAAAACCAAATGAACTTGAAAATAGAGAATGAACAGAATTATTAATTCAAGGGTTCAACACATTTCTTTTTATGAATCAGACCAGATTCAGCTGCTTCAAGGCTCAGATGTTGGATGCCTTTGTGAGGAATTTGTGATCTAACAATGAATCACAATTACTTTTAGTTGCCACTGCACTTGAACTATTAACTAGAATTAGTTATACCATCAGAAACTTACTCTGCTTCCAATTTATACCATTCAGGGGACTTCAGGTCCTGCCCTCCTAGCAGCACTCCAGGAACTTCCTCACTTCCCTTGATCCCTGTCCAGTCCATGAGAAGTAGAGCCATTCCAAGTTTTCCCCATCTAGGACTTGCCATTCTTTGGAAGGGACTGGACACCAAATTTCAGTAATCCTGCTGATTCTTGTTCCTTTCCATCAAGCCCAAAGATAAGTGGTCAGAGTTTTCCATGCAAATAAAGTCCATTTATATGGAATTGCACAGTGGGAGACCAGCAAGGTGTGTTCCACTCAGCTGGACTGGCACCAGTACTCCCAGTTGCCTCTTGAGAGGACTTGAGTGAGTTCTGGTTAGTCTGGGGCAGTTTAGTGCCTGCAAAAGGAAAGCCACATTTCCCCTTTTTTTTTTTTTTTTTGCTCTAGGAGTCTCCTGATGAGACTTGCCAGAAAGCTGAAAAAGGATCTTCTTTATTTTGGTCTGTCACCCAAAGGGAGGCTGAGTTTTCCTCCTCGTTCTTACCTCTGGCAATGTCATTCCTGCTACATGAAACCTGCAATCATAAATCACTTGTCTGCATCACAGATAACACAGTTGGACAATGGCAGCCTCCTCACACCTGTGCTTTTGCTTTTCTCCTCAAACCTCAGCCAGTGCTGTTGTGGCTCTGAGAGCTACAACTGGCACAGGAGAAATTGCAGTGCCACAACATTCCCTGGAAATGACCCAAAATAACCTTTGTGATTCCTTTAGTATTATGTTTTTATCACCCAGGCTCTGTGGCAGATAGCAGAATTACTTCTGAGAGCTTTAGGGTGTAGATAGGGCAGGTTTTCCCCTCCCAATTAATGGCAAAAATCAATGATCACAGCCAGAGCTACCAAGATAGTCACAATAATTGGTGAATGTGGCAGTAAAAACAAGCACCAATTTCATGCTCATGCATTATCTGTTAATTTAAGATGCTCTGACTGTTGGTGGAT